TTACTTTAAAAACTTTCCTGTTTTTGTTGAAAATGTGAGGAAAAACATCAGTCATTGTGAAGTGGGGAAGAAGCAGATTAAGTTAGTGACTTTTAGTCCTTAAAACATCTGTGTCTCATTTGATTGTTGTTKTTTTTTTTTGAAAGTCATTTTAAGGAGGTCTGTGTGGAAAAAAGAAAACACACGTAGAGAACATGATGTGATTACTTTGTTCAGAACGTGATGAAGGGAAAGACACACACATCGAAAGCAGAGGAAGGACGTTATCTGGAAACATGATGATCTGAAACAACAGCCGTATCTCAGTGGGCAGGGAACATGTCAAGTTTTAGTGAAGGGYTTGAACAAATGAAATGCATTCAGTTCATTTGTATTGTGTTATTTTGACACAAGTTTTTTATTTTATTTTACCAATGGGATTGATTGATCCCCTGTCAAAAAAACTTTCATCCCTAAAACACTCAGGTCTTTGAGTGAATTTTTATTTTATTTATTTTTTTTGTGTGTGTGTGCAACAAATGACAACAAAAGAGATCAAGGCATGATTATTTAGCTATATGCAGTGTGTAATATTTCAGTAATCATACGGGAAACCAAACTATATTTCATTGTTCATAAGATTAGGCACAACAGCATGCTGAGGAGTTCTGACATTACCTAACAATTGAATCATTTTAAATACATTTAGCTTGTTTTGATCATTTTATTGTGTGTGTAAGTTTCTCTGTCTGCCATGTTAGCAAAATATCCAATTAACTTGAACGGTCAACTAAAACATATTAACATTTTGAGCCAATCCAATTAAAGATGGCCGCCAGAACAACTGACGCCACAAAAATGGTTATATTTCAGTCAGTTTCACAGATTTTTGTGTGAATGTTTTGAGATGATTCATTTATTTTCTTCCACGTGTTTTTTGGCGCAGAGCTCGTTCTGCTACTTTTGTGCTCTTTCAAAAATGTTTCCATCAAAAAGTTCAGTTCCTTCAGGACATTGTGACTTTTGATATTGCAGCACTTCACAACTTTTTAGTCTATTTGGACAGTTTGAATGTCATTGAAAATTAATGGAGCTTGAGTCAACATCCATAAAACCTTTTAAAATGTTCATAAAATGTTTAGTGTATATWTTTTGTTGTAGTTCTGCTTTTCTTAAATTGTTTGTGCTAATATTAGCTGTTTTCTGTTTTTTTCAGCTATCTTTCTGTCCTTTTAGGCATTTAGCAAATTTAATTTTTATCAGTTTCTTTCTGCTAATTTAAGCTTTTTTCTTCATTCAGCTGTTTTCTGCAATATAGGCTACATTTTAGCTATTTCAGCTAATTTTAGCATTTTCTAGTTAAATTTATTTTTTGTCATAATTTCAGCTTCAACAAACATGCTCTTTCTGCTGCTATGGGCTAGAATCAGCATATTAAACCCATATTATGCTAATTTCAGCTTTTTAGGCTATTCTACAACAAATTCCAAAATTTATCATAAGATGATCTTTGTTTAAAACTTTGACATTAAATGCAAAGGGTGATACAAATTCCTTCATAGGGTTCACAGTGATCATAAAGAAGATGGATTTAAAAAAAGTTGGAATCTAATCCTCTTTCAAATTTTAGCTGTTTGTATTTAATTTGTTTATTTTATTTAGCAGTTTTTGTGTGCTGTGTTTTAATTCATGTAGCATATTTGATTTTTGGCAGCAGATTTAAGTTATTTCTAATTGTCCCAAGTTGTTTCTTTCTTTTGAATTTGAGTCACAATTTTATCTAGCTTCATGTTTTTGGAGTCAGAACCACAATTTCATCACAAATTTGTTGAGGCTGGAATGGCCCAAAAATTGCACAAGAGGAGAAAGTCAGTAACAATGCATGAAAGTCTTCAAAAACATTGTTCCACATCAGTTATGACTTTTAAAAATTAATTGTCAGCGGGACAAAAAAATATTGCAAACGCTATGTTAAAGTTGTCTCGTCAGACCAAAGTTAGAATAAAAACAGGAAGACAGCAGCGAGTGGGATTATTGTTGATGTGATCCGATTCTGCTTGTTACTGTCAGAGATTAACAACATGAAGATCCAGAGTTAATACCTTTAGACGCAGCTCCCACTTTCATTTTGAAGTCCAAAGTAAACTGCAACAAAGGATGGTGCACTTTCATTTAATTAATTGAGTCCTGAAAGGAAATCAAACAAAGAAAACACACAAAAGGATGTTGAGCAAAAGCCAAAAAAAAAAAAAAAAAGAAAAAAAAAAGAAAAACACATTTTTAATATTTTTTGTGTACGCCCATTCCTGGGGAGCTGTGTGAAGAGGTCAGGAGAGGTCAACAGAATACAAGATTAGGCCATTAGAGAAAGAAGAACTGTGCCAGTATAATCCCCTCGTCATAATCTCTCTTTCTCCCTCCCTGCTGCTAATGGCTGCAAGACAATAAGATTTACTAATCTGTCCACTGGGACGGCACAGGGCTGCACTGAGATATCTGCCGGAGTACAGAGCAGATAGGCTAAAGTGTTTTGAAGATTACTTTACTGGCATTTTCTGCTTTATTAGATAGAGCCCCGGTGGGGAGACGCGAGAAGCATGAGGGGGACTGACGCAAACAAGAGAGGGGTAAAACAGTAAGAAAAACTGCTGCAAACTCCGCTTCACTTTACTGCTGGGGTTTGTACAGATTGATTTGGGTTCAACTGAGCTACATGGCTTGCAGGAAGTAAAACTAGAAAATGAAAACTAATGAAGACCATAAACATGAAAAAGGGCAGCTTCATTTCCATTTGAAGCCATTTTAACAAACCTTAAATGTCATGCWATTTTTGTGGTTTAAATGTTGTAAAGATTTGTTATATTGTGCACATCATCACCGTTAAGTAATGTTACATTTGTAAACTCTYATTGGAGATGAGTTGCAAGTGTCATAACATTTCACAATATTAATGTAAATATWGACGAGAAAGTGTCTTTTGTGACTTTGCTTAGATTTGAGTTTAGACTAGACTTTGCTGCCATGAACAAACAAGCATTGAATTTGTTCAGATAGATCTTGTTGTTGTTYGTTAACTCTGCACTTTAGGGCAAGAGGAGGTAGGAGTTTGTCCTGTAACTGGTGGGTTGYCGGTTCAAATTCCCCGCCMCAGGGCAGCTGTGGCTACAATCAGTGTATGAATGAATGAATGAATGACTGTAGTGTACAGCAACCTGGACTTGATAAAGTGCTATMCAAGTTCAGACTATTTACCATTTAGAGAAAATGAGCTTTTCAATATTATCTTTCTGCAGATAACTGGATTACTGTAATGTATTGGTGAGGAATTGCGTAATAGTAATAAATGTTGTATATTAATAGCATTAGAAAAAAGTATTTTTGTCCTCTCACTTGGCTTTCATCGTTTTGGTGAACACTGTGGTTTGGAGCTTGGTATTCATATTCAATTGGCTGTAATTTGCCAATTAAGCCACTAGATGTAATTAAATTGCAAGAATGCGGCACTAATCATCAAGTTATCCCAGTCCAATCTGTCTAGTTGTATTTGGGATAATAAATGCTGTATCTTTAAAAGAAAGCACAAAAACAATTTGGTTTTGGAAACGTTTTGGTTTCCCAGAGAAGAAAATTTGTGGGATATTTGCAGTTTTTGCAATGTGTTTTGTTTAAACAGTGGTGTGAAAAGAAGAAAAATGGAACATGTTAGTCCCAATAAAATCCATACAACTTTTGTTATTATGAAACCCGCACATGTATCAGGGATCGTATTGTTTTTGTAATGTTAACTTTTTTATATATATTCATATTTTACCAGTGGTTTTTTGGCCAACCGTACCATAGAAACGGCTGCACCAATCAACTTGAAATTTGGCAGGAATGTAGACATGTCCGACCTACACTGCTTCAGCCAACGGTTTTACGATAGATCCACTATTTGAGGAAGGGGCTTCATCTAAAAAGGGGGTGTCTGGACATACAAATATGCTTATAAGTCAAAAGCTGTTCAACAAAAGAGCTTCAGATTTTTTTTTAGCTCTGATAAAAGGCTATGCTTCAGGCCCACTAATGAGTACCCCTCACCCACAACAATAAATCTGTTCTAGTGCATTGGTGGTTTGTGTATGTGTGGGGGTCATATAGGTAAGTTACCGCTATGCGGTGTCTAGTTTATGTAATGATGATTTACATTTTTTCAGGCTTTTTTTTAATTTGATCCAAAAAACAAAATGCAAATTTCATTACTTGAAGCAGCAATCCTCAACACTCTTTGATTCCTACAAATATTCAGCATCTGATGGATAACCTAATTATGCACTTTGTTGCATGACACTGAATTTTTTAAATGTTTATTAGAACAAATTATTTAACGTACTTAACAGATTTGTAGTTTAAATTAATAATTGCTATTGGACATAAAGCCCTCTTGTAGATATAAACAAGTGCTTTGTTTTCACTTTGTTATGCTGTAATAAGATGGAAAACAAAAAACCCATCAGAAATGTAAAATGCCATAGGCCTTTCTAAGTACTGATTAAGACAGACCAGATTGGTTTTAATGTCACCTCCTCTCTCTCGCCATCTTCGTCAGTCTTGCTTTCTTGCAACCTCAATGGGCAAAGAGCTAAAATGGGTCACAGGCCTATGTTTAATAGATCCCCACATGACCAGTGGGGTGATTTGCTTTTAGTACAAGTCCCACGATGAGGGCCTAAATGTTTCATTTGGGTCCCAAGTTGCAAAGATTTAAGAGCTCTGGACCTGAATGATAGCTAGACCCCGAGCTCAGCGGCAGACAGTGAGGGGACAGAGAGTCCTTGGCCTTCGCTCTAATTCTCACCCAGGCCCAGTGAAGGGGTCTGTCCACAGCTGATAAGTGGTTTTAATGTGATCTCGCTCGTCTTTTCTCCTCCATTCCCCGCTCTTCATTACTGCTGTGCCCCTTCATTCTCTTCCACATTTTCTCACCTCTCGCTCTCATCTCGTTTRTCTCCTCCTCTTGTTTCTGCCTCGTTCTGTCACAGATGATGGCACGGCTCCAGCTGAGGACGACAGGACTTTTGACCACTTTGGCCTTGTTCTTCTTTCTCGTTGTGGCTCAAGACACTGGCCTTCCAGCTGTGGTGCTGGAGAGACAAGACTCGGGTGATATTGTGAGAAAAGAATCCCATCCGGTGCTGTTCAGACAGAAGAGAGAATGGATCTGGAACTCTCTCTATGTGGAAGAAGAAAAGCCTGCACCCATCCCTTATAAGATTGGACAAGTATGCTTAACACTGGTTCAATTTAAAGTAGTACAGACTTATTCTTTTGAGCCTATAGACTCTTTTTCAGTGGTTGTTCAAATAGGAAGCAAATTGTTATTTTCCTGTGACAAGAATCTAGGTCATTGGCCTGTTGTCTTCCAGGTTTTTGATGAAAATTTGCACCAGTTTGCCAGAGAACTGAGTTTATTTGTAGAAATTAGCTGGGAGGTTGTTGATTTGATTCCTCTCTCCAGCTGGGAGAACGTTAATAACTGAAGCCTGCTTTGCTTTATCTTTCCGCAGCTCAAGTCGAGCAAGAACGTGGAAGTGAAGAAGTACAAAATAGACGGAGAAGGAGCAAACACCATCTTCACGGTGGATACAAAGGGAGACCTATTTGTTAGAACAAGCCTGGACAGAGAGGAGAAGGCCTTGTATCATTTAACAGCTCGCATGTTTGACGGGAACAACCAGTTGATCGAGGACGCCGGGGAGTTTGTGGTGCAGGTGACAGACATCAACGACAACAGCCCAGTTTTCCCCAGGGTGTACAATGGCTCCATTCCAGAAAGGTCCATCATAGGTATGTATTGTAGGCAAAAAAAGGTAAAAACTATCATCAGTTGGATTTTTTTGAACACATCTTACAGTCAAGTTGGGTTTATTAGTAAAGCCTTAAATATACAGTGGCCCAATGAGATGTGCACAACCGCGGTGTCCATTCTTGGTCCATGAGAGGCACCATCCCGTATGTTTATAGATTTCTCTGCTCCAACATGCCTGACTTGAATGAATGTGTGAGTAACAGATTTTACAGACCAGGTAATAAACCATTGAATCAGGTGTGTTGAAGCAGGGAAAAGAATCTACATCAACTGAATAAAGATATGCAAAGATGATAAATGAAGTCAATGGATAAAAAAGAAAGTATTGAAAATGTACTAGTCACTTTAACTTAAATATATTATAGAGTGGACTGCAAAAACAAATGTTCACACCTGCCACAATCATTAGAGCATCCCTCTGTGAAATTAGGTACATTAGTGACTCAATTCAACAATTTTAGCACTTAATCATTTTGAATTAAGTCAAACCTCTGTGACGTTAAATGCAAAAACACATGTCCTCATTTGAACAACCTTTGCAAAACAAAAATGTATTATATTGATGACTGCAAATGATAATTATACATTTATTATGTGCAATAATCTCCACTGTTTAGGAACTAAAGTGATTGAAGTGAGGGCAACTGATGCAGATGACCCCACTACTGCTAATGGAGAGCTCAAGTACTCTTTGACTTCAGCTGGAGACACTTCTGCCTTCGAAATCGACCCCCTTACTGGTATGCTGTCTGGAATGACATCCACTCTAACTTCTACCCTGCAGAAACACCTTTTTCTCCCCCTTAACTCTTCATCAAAATTAATTTGGTGAAGCTGCAGATGCGGAGACTATTTTTACTCGAGCATGAGTCAGAGTTGACCTCATGGGTAACACCTTTCTCTGTCGCTCGGCAGGTATGATCAGCTGCAGGACAAACAGTCTGGACCGGGAGACCAGGAGTCAGTATGTGCTGGTGGTAAAAGCTCAGGACATGAGAGGAATGGCTTCTGGCAGCACGGCCACCACCTCMGTCACAATCAACATCACTGATGTCAACGATAATTTAGCTTCATTTACCGAAAGTAAGAGTCATGCACTATAAGGAATTCTTCCTCTTAACCTGTTAGAGGTGTAAAGTGACCAAGTACAAATACATTATCACTTTAATTAAAGGCACAGTGTGTAGGATTTTGTCAATTCTTTTAGCCGAAATTGAGATAATCATTAATGGCAATAATAAAAAAC